ATTGTTTAAAAATATATATAATCCTTAAATTTTTAAACTCTTTTATTGTTGTTTAATGCTTAAAAGCACACTGAACCACAAAAGAATCAACAACGAAATGTCACGATCGACCAAAAGATAATACAACCTTTTAGGGCAAGCTGTCTGCAGTAAACTGATACAATGCATTTGGGGAAATTGCACCTGCTACTGCATATCTTAGAAGGAGGGAAGAAAACAAGATTACAATCTCGGCCATTTTCGGGCGGTTCTGGTTGTTTCAATGCAGGGCCGTGTCGGGCGGTTTGAATGTGAAGGAGTTAACCAGTAACATGCCTGTTCTCCTGCCCTTGATTGTGGAGATAACACAAATACTGAGTAATCTAATCTGGATTCTGACCACAGTCACACTAACAGAATCAAACTAAATAGAGTGAATGCCCAATTAAAAAGTACGCACAGATCAAGAGAGTTAAGTGGAATGAACTTTGTGCCGGTCTGAATTCAAGATCATCTAATAGTAAATTGTGGAAGCTGGTGAAAGGCATTAGCAAAGAACAACCCCATTTTGAAAAGTGCAATACTATTTATTCTAGGAGTGGAGTCTTGGCTCAGAATGATGAACAAGCTAATATTTTAGAGGAGCATTACCAATTAATGAGTAGTCTGAATTTCACTGACAACAACAAATATGTGAAGACCGTGGTGAGTAATGTTATTCATAGCTGTCATAGTAATCCTCATGTGGGCCCGGCTATTTTCAGCAGAGCCTTTTCAGTTCAGGAGTTTGATACTGCGATCGCAAGTTTGAAATTAATTCTTCACCTGGGTCAGATGGTATTCAAGGTCATATATCCATGTGGATCCAATAATCTTTCATTTGGGTCCATATGGAAAACAGAGACTTTTAGACATCATAAACGACTCTTGGAGACGGTCATCTTCCTCGTGATTGGAAAAAGGCAGTTGTGGTGCCTATTAGAAAACCTGGTAGGGACATTGCTTCTGTTGAGAGTTTTAGACCCATGGCTTCTATCTCATGTAAAATTATGGAAAAAATGATTTTAAAGAGACTCGCTTTTTATTTGGATTCCCACAACCTTCTCCCAATAGAGCAATATGGTTTTAGAGAAAGACACAGCACAATTGACCAGGTGCTTTATTTTAGCCAAAGAAATTTCATGATTAAGTTCCTCAGAGATTCTCATAACAAGAAACTTACACATCACACTATAGCTGCTTTCCTGGACCTTTCTAAGGCCTTCAACAGAGTTTGGACGCAGAGACTGACTGCCAAATTAAATTATAAGTTCGGCATACGTGGTAGAGCACTGTCTTGGATTTATAATTTTTTTAGAAATAGACAAGTTAGGGTGAGGTTCAATGGTTTGACTTCAAATAGTTTTAAAATAAGCCAAGGTGTTCCTCAAGGTTCATTTTTGAGCCTTGCTTTGTTTATGCTTTTTATTGCAGGAACTGAAAAGTCATTCCTGGGAACTGTAAAACTGGACTATTTGCAGATGACATTGTTCTTTGGAGTTCCGGCTCTGATATTGGAAAGGTGGAGGAGAGTATGAATCTGGCTCTAACTGACATGTGGAGCTTTGCTGTAGACCACAAATTAAGTTTTAACCCTTCACAACCAATAGTAAATTATATAATTTTTGACCAAGAATCCTGTTGAACAGTCAGCCTTTGAAAGTGAAGAAACACCCAAAGTATTTGGGCTTCATGTTGGATCCTGAGATTTTGGGTAATAGTCACTTGGAACATCTTGTTCTGAGAGCTAGGAAATGCATTAATATCCTTAAGTACATCTTGGGCCGTGATTGGGGTGCCGAAGCTAGTACCCTCAGAAATGCTTATGTTTTCCTTATTCGACCCATTTTGGAGTACGACTTCCCCATCTTCTGTTGTGGCTCTGATTCAAACCTACAGAAACTTGAACATGCACAGCTTAGTGCTGCAAGGATTATTACTAGCCATCACAATTCATGCCCAAAAAATATTGTACTTTATGAAGCCAATCTGCAGCCTTTAAGTCTTAGGAGAAATGCATGTTTAGTGAAGTACTACAATAAGCTGTCTAGCCTTGGCCTCCAGAATCGTACCTCAAAATTTCTAGGGTCATGGAGCAATAACCAGAGGCTCAAACGTGGTAGTCCCTATGGACAAGTTGTTTCTAACCACCTTATTGCCAGTTCTATAGAACATCAAAGCTTATCTCAGATTATCTACCCCTCTGAAGGTCTATGGGGTTTACTTTCATGTTAACCTTTCTGTACAAATTGGCAAACAGACGGAATTGCCATGCTACTTGAAACAGTTAGCTCTTGAAATAATTAATAATGTCTCTATGGACGCTGTCCACATGTATATAGACGGCAGTAAACTTGTTAACGACAGTTCTGGCAGTGGCATTTATATTAGATTTTGGGATCAAGAAATAAGAATTCAAAGAAGAAAACCAGACCTTCTGGTTGGTGTTTTGAAGCGAGCTTATTGCAATTCTGAAGGGTCTGGACTCCATCATGTGGCTTCTTCAGTTAAAAGATATCTGGGTCTTTTCGGATAGTAGAAATGCCGGCCAGCACTTGGCTGATTGGCATAATGTGGGGGGGTAATAATACAAGTGCAGACATCCTCAGGAAAATCCTCAGGAAACTAAAACAACTTTCCCTTTCTCATCGGATCCACTTTCAGTTGGATTCCGTCCCATGTCGACATTGCTGGAGATGAAATTGCGGAACAGCTTGGCTACAGCTGGCGCTAGCGAGACCACAACACCTGCCGCTTCCTCTTACTTATATGGAACTATTTTCTAAATCTAAGGCAAAGAATAAGGCCAGTTTCGGATGGTCCCACCAGTGCACCCATGGTATCAAAGTAAGTGCCCTGGTGGCTCCTTGGTTCCAGCAACAGACGAGATCAAACTGCACTTACTAGATCCCTTAGTGGCCATCTGTTATCAATGACTTTTGTCGGTGGTAATAAACACTTTGAAATATGTACTAAGTGTTCTACTGCACAGGCCTCTCCTGATCACATCTTATCTTGTCTGGAGCTTACCAGACAGAATCTGGTTCAAGACCCCCCTTTTTATACTAGACTCTTTAAGGGTGAATGGGCTCATGGACCTGATCTAGCTCTGCTGGTCACAGGGATGAGAAACAACAACATAGCTGATTTTCAAATTAATATCAAACATTGCTTGATAATTAATTTCAATTTTTGTTACAAATAATTTTTTGAAAAGAAAATTTAAATTTCATGACATTATTAAAACACATAAAAATTTATGAATTCCTAGTTTGTAAAAAAGGCTATTGATATAAAATTCTCATCAAATGATTTACTTTTTCCATAGGATAAAAAATGATAAAAATTGATTAGAAATTTTACCAACAAAGTTATCCTTTCATTTCCTACAAGGTTAAATTACACTGGTGAAATAAATTAAGAGAATTTGCCTATTTTATCGATTTGCATGAAAACAACTGAACTGAATGAAAAACCACTGCTTCTAGATAAAAACGCAAATCTTGTACCGTAAATACGTAAGCATACACGTGTGTGTAGGCGAAGCCAGCAGAAAAACAGGCTTTATAAGCGTGTGGAGGATAAGACAAATTGCGTTGAGGGTTTAATTTAACGCCCAGCGTCGTGTGTAAACTTTGGAAACAGTTCCAGGATACTAGATCCATCGAGAGAAAGCCTGGGCGAGGTTGTCCAAGAGCTACGACAGCTAGAGAAGATCACTATTTGTCCATCTTCGTGAGGCTAACAGAGGGTCTACAGCTTCTCAGCTCTCTCGGGACCTATGCAGCCACAGAAGCTCGTGTAACAAGGGTGACTGTTTCCAAAAGACTGAATGAGAGAGGACCGTTTGCCAGAAGACCGGCTCTTTGCGTCCCGCTCACGTCTACAGACAGGAGAGTCTGATTAGCATGGTGCAGGCGGCGTAGTGATTGAAGTACGGAGAAATGAGTGACCGTTCTGTTCACCAACAAATCCGTTTTAGCCCAAACAACGATTCTCGCCGTACTTTCACGTGGGGAGAGCCATATACCCTCTGCAAAATCAACAAGGTGTAATGGTAAATGGAGGTGGCGGTGTAATGGTCTGGACAGTGATCATGTTGGATGGCTGCACACCTCTCCACATCTTTGACAGAGCTCTGTGACTGGTGTGAGGTATAGTGATGAGGTCTTGGAACCCTATGTTCTCCTTTTCCGGGGTGCAGTAGGCTGCAAGTTCATCTTACAGGATGATAACGATAGACCACGTGGAGCTCTTTTGGTCAGTGAATTTCTTGAGAGTGAGGATATACGCCGGATGGATTGGCCAGCCAGGTCTCCAGTCCTCAACCCTATACAGCATGTCTGGGGCACTCTGGGGAGAGCAATTGCAACTCCCCTCCGAGAACCATCCTGGAACTGAAAACAGTGTTGCTGAATGAGTGGGACCAATGGCCACAGGCACTGCCTTATTTCCAGTATGACATCATGCTGCGAGACCTGAATGGCTGTAAGAAGGCACCATACCCCCTATTAACCTATTTCTTTCGTGTCTTCTGATACCGCTGTTTCAGACCTTCAGACTCCCATGAGTGTTACACACGAACATGTGTGTCTATTATAACTGTTGAATGTTGATTTTGTTTGTATAATACCAACCTATGTTCACACCAAATTTTATTAAAATCTGTCGAGTTGTTCTGGAGATTGTAGATCAAATATGAATATTATCTTTATTTATTTCACCAGTGTAATAAAAATTGAAACTCTTTAATAAATACATTCTCATTGCTCTCAACATTCAAAGAACATTTTTATACATTTCACATCTATATTTTCGTGTTTATATTTATTTTTAAAAAAAATTAAATTAAAGTATGAGAGGCATTATCACACACATTTAATTATCAGTATGTAGCTTAACAAAGATCATATTTTATATAAAGTGCTAAATATTTTATAAAAGAAATTCCAAATAAATATTAAAAGTATTTATTAAAATATTAAAAAATAAATGTATATATTAAAATATAAAACTACATATTTACAATATTTGTAGAAAATCCACCACCACCATGGCAACCTCTGCCAAACACATCCAAACCAACATATATATCAGTCTTGCGAAGACCTGCCTCATAAGCAGACAGTTTCAAATCTTCACCTTTCCAGTTATAGTTTAAAAAGATTCCATCACATCCATCGAAGAAGTCTCTATTAAAAAAAAAATTAATAAAATAATACGTGAGAAATTTTTGTAAATTTTTTTTTTTAACATGAGAGGCAATTAACTATTACTTTTATCATGAATTAAACAAGTTACATAATAACAAATGAATTTAAAAACATATTTAAAGTATTTTAAAATTAAATAATACTTATGTTTAAGCAGAATGTGTCTGTTAAATAATTTGAAAGGAAAAAAGGCTAGAGGACGCAGATGCTCACATGTTGCGAGAGAATAAAGATTGTTTATGTTGAAGGCGGCGGCCTAAGAATATGCTCTGAACATATAGTGAATTAAAATAATGTTAAAAATGTTAAAATTAGTAAACGATCATCTGATTTAGAAACGCACAATTATTATAGCGTCCGAGTCACTTCTATAAAGTGGCAATAGACACACAGAGGCTTTTTCCCATTCACTGTTCAATTTTTGAGACTTCCCAATTTATTATGTAAACAACACCATAAGGGGTAAAATAATGGCATTTTCTCTCAAAGTATATCTGTATCTTCTTTATGCAAATTCTAAAGTTCTGGAGTTTAAGATGGACAGTCACTATTCCTTCACTTTAGAAGTTAAGCATTTAATTAACAACGATATGCAAGTACAGCTTAAAGAATTTACCAAGGACAAAATCAGAATATATAGGCAAACAGATAAACGTTACAAAATGTCGTTGGAGATGTTTTATTTCCGAAACATTGTTATCAAGAATATATCAGCCAGGATAACTAGTAAGTACCACATTTTTCCTTTCCTGCATCTCCAATTACAGAAAAGAATTCTCATACATAAATTAATGAAATTAAATGAAAGTAGAAGTATTCATGTAGTTTTACTTGAATACTACCAGAAAGCACAATTAGATGAATACTCTCTTAGACTGAAGAAAGAATGAAAGAGGAACGGAAGGAATTAAAATACTCATATACTACAATGCAAATTTTTTAGAACACTTAATTTTGAAGTAATTTCCCACACCCGTTGTATGCTTAATATTAAGTATTACAAGCTATGTTGCCATTATTATTAAACATTTAGAACTGCTTTAAAGCCAGAAAAATCCTAATCTAATAACAATTGTATAAAAAATTCATGGATTAATCTTTTCTTGCATGTAGCCTGAATTTTCAAGAGGAAATGAATAAAATATGACACAGATCTTACAAAATGGTTCTTGAAGATAGACAGAGAAAAATTTGCAAATTTATTAATTTCACAAGATTTTTGACAGTTTTCCTATTCACAGAATTTGTAATCAAATAGAAAATTATAAATAAAAATAGAAGCAGAATTAAAGAAGTAAATTACCTCTTTATATTTAATATTTCTCCTAACAATGAAAAACTTTGCAAGTCCATTAAAAACAAATTTAGATATTTCACAAAAAAAAACTATTATTAAAATTTAATTCTTGTTCACTGGATGTTTCGTGTTTAAAATAAAGGAACAGTTGATTTTTTTTTTTTTGCTGAAATGAATGCTGTAAATTATATTATGAAATTAATATTTATATACAGTCAAAAGTCGTTAATTCGGACACCCATAATCCGGAATGATCTATAATCCGAACCTCAAAACTAAAATCTTTCTGCGCATGCGCCGCGTTGACGCATGCGCATAGGCGTTTTACGCGTGCGCGCAAGACATTTACGACTGCGCATATGCGTTTGCGCAGGCACAGAATACGTTTTAGCGTGCGCGTTTAATGTATAACGGATGGTATAAGCTCTAATTATCTATTTCAGTTAATGATGATGATTGCGTTGTTCCTTAATCTTCGAATTGGATCTGGCTTATTATTTTTTGCAGACTGTAAGAGCAATTTTATAAAAGTAAGCTTGAACTTTCGATTACGTCAAATAGAATTTCCGATGCTGGAGCTCCCAAAGGATCTAGAAAACGAAAGTATGTTTCGATGTCCATCAAACAAAAAACGAATTGCTACAAAAAATGGATAAAGCCATATCCTTTGTTTATCTAACCGTTCGGAAATCTGTTTATCAATTTCACGCTGCTCTGTGCGGAAGGGGGGGGGACGTCGCCACGTGCTATGAACTGGAAGTTGATCTGTCAGCACTATCGTTATCTTCAGGGAAGATGTTTTTATTTTATTTGGCTTATAATTCCTTACCAAATGTAGAATTTCATCTTGATGTACTACGTCTTTCATATGATTTAAATCAAATTCCTCATCATTATAAATATCACGAATACACATCAAATAGTTGCAATTTTCTAATTTCGACTATGCGTAAGGTATGCTTTACGCATGCGCGCGTTGAAAGAAATGTTTAATAAAGTAAACAAATAAATATTAAGCTTCTTTTTTTGTAAATTTTGATACCCTTTAGATCATAACTGCTCATTATTTTATAAATTACGGTTTCATATTTTTAATTTTATAATTTCTGTATGCCATCTTACCAGATTTAAACTGATGATCTATAATCCGGAAAAATCGATAATCCGGAATTGCCGAAGTCATGACGAGTCCGGATTAAAGACTTTTGACTGTATTATGAAATGAATGATGTAAATTATGTTTACTGATGTTATGAAAATTAGAATTTTCTACACGAACACATCAATAAAAAGGTTGATATATTTGATTTGTTTTAAACACAACAAAATCATTATTTCATTAATTTTTCTTTATGTTATTTGACTGTACTGCAATTTTTTTTTTAAAAAAGGTTCAGAAGTGTTTCAATGATTTTATTTTTGATACTGATTGCAACTCTATGATATATACCATATTTGACAGCATATAAGACACACCCTTATTTAGAAGGCCCCACACACAAGAGAAAAAGTTTCAATAGTCCATGGGACAGTGCAGTACCACAATAACTTAAAATGTGGTTTCTTTTAGTTCTCACATTTTGTAAAAGCCAAATAAACAATCATTGAATGCAATTACCAAACATATTTTTATTAAGGAAAATTAACAAATGGCAAACTATTTTGAACATGATATGTAAATTTCAATAATGAATAAATGAATGAATGGCAAGCAATCAAACATAATACAAAATAAAGCAGAAACAACAAAAAAACACAGATTCAAGGAAAACGTTACCTATCATGAAATTATAATTTAATCACTTTCAAAACCATAAAAATCCTTTTCACTATCATCATCATCGAAAACAAGAATACCGTCATCACTACTGTTTCTGTCATCGCTAGTATCACCTTCTTCAAATAATGCATCGTCTTCTGTTCCGTCAAGAGCATTACTGATTCCGCACTTCTTAAAGGACTTAACAATTACTTCAGCCTTTACATCCTCCCAAGATCTTTTTACCCATTTGCAGCACACTTGTGTAATAGAGGGCCGCTTCATTCTACCTGAGAGCGTGATGTGGCTCTCCTATCCACTTGATCCATCGTTCTCGCACTTTTTCCTTAAATGGCTTATTCACTGATACATCTAACTGCTGCAATAGGCTAGTCAATCCACCAGGAATGACAGCTATCTGGGTTTTTAATTCTCTCGCTTTATTCTTGATGGTTTCAGTTCTATGGGTGCTAAACTGATCCAAAACCAAAAGAGAGGGTTTTCTTAAGAGTCCACCAGGTTGCCTTGCCTGTAACCAGTTTCATTCCAGCTTTGTCCATCCGGCCTTTCGGATGAACATGAACAATTACACCCGTTGGAAGTTTTTCTTTTGAATATGAAAAACGGCGGTAGTTTTGTGCCATCAGCACAACATATTAAAACTACCGTATTATCAGGTTTTTCATGACCTGTGGTTTTTATGGTTATTGATTTAGATGCTTTAATACTCACAGTCTTATTGAATGGTACAGCAAATGTGAGTGGAATTTAATCCATATTTCCTATTTGACCGAACTCAAAAGAAGTTTTCTTGCGTGCATTTATAACAAACCTATGAAATGCTAGTATTTTTTCTATGCTGGCATTTTCTGTGCCATAGTTGTTTTTGTGCTCATTGATAAGCCTTGCCTTTTCATGAACCTGTAGCACCAGCCCTCAGACCCTGAAAAGTTCCGATTCCCATGTTTTCTGCAAATCTTTTGGCCTCATTGATTATCATTTTGGTTGAAACACTTATCCCAGATTTCCTCTTATCTATCACCCACATTTTTATGGCATTTCCAAGTTCAGGCTAAGATGGAGCTGGGCATCGAAGGTTATGTTTTTGTTTTTTAGCAGTCTTCAGTTGATCTTCCTGCGGTTGCCAAGTACGTATCAATTTTTTGATAGGTGATGGACCGAAATGCCTTGCTGCTGCTCTGTTTCCATGCACTTTGGCGTAGTTTAACACTCCTAGTTTATACTGAATAGTATAGCTTAATCTCTTGTTTCCTGTAGTCATATTTTCCAGGGTATTTTTTTTAAACAAATAGTTTTAAGCACCGATACTAACACGTTTATACAGAGTAGCACCGATACTGACACGTGTGTTGGCTGAGTCAAAGAAAGTCTATGTAAAGAAGGAACTCCATAGACGTAATGTGACCGTCGAACCTATTTGAACTTCAACATCAGCTTCGAGCTTTGGCGCTTTTTCGCGATAGATATTTCGCGCATGCGCAAAATAATTATGGCAGATGTAGAAAAAGTTATGTGTGTCTAGACCTTTATCCGGGCTAAAAATAGCATTCAGTATTGAAAGTTAACCTGTGTCCTTCATGTATAAGATGCAGGTAACTTTTTTGAGACCAAATTTAGGAAAAAAAGTGCATCTTATATGCCGTCAAATACAGCATTTGTACATGCAGTTCATAAATAAAAATTAAACTATAAAAACTACATTTTTAGATGCTTTAAAATCTAGATTTTATAGAATATGTTTATTTTCATAAAGTTTTATGTTGGCTTCTCAGACGTTTAAGTATGATTTTAGATCAGATAAACAAATGTATTAATAAATTTTCTTATTGTTCATGGATCAAACGTGTTTGTACGTGGTAAACCTTTTGAAAAGAAAAATATTGTTAAACATATTTTTTTGTGATATAAATGCAATATTTCAGTTTTTACTGATTTTTATGAAAAGCTAACTCATGCGGACAATTTAAACTTTAGATGTTTAACCATAGAAAGATGTTTTTATATTGTTACGAACTGTACAACCACGGTAAGATAGTTTCCCTGCAAAGCAGGTTTAGGGTTGCTATAAAATGGCAAGGGAAGGCAGGGTTGCCACATTTGGTGGCAAAATTAGCGATATGCCATGGATGGATGGAGAACCTTCTGGAACGAATATTAGCCCAGAATATTCTCGAACACAAGCCAAAAGCTATATACCTCCTCGTACGTGGAGAGTCAGTCAATTAGCGTCTCATCCAGTGAGCTAGTTAGTCCGTGTGGAGTCCATCGAGTTGATAGTCACTGAGTGCTGAGTCAGTCATCGAGTGCACCGAAAGAGTCTCTTAGTGTATTGCAGTTAGTGCATCGTCGAGAGAGCATTTTGAGCTCCAGGAATGACTGAACCGAGAAGTCAAGAGCTGTACTCTGATGTGTCGTTGAGTGCATCGTGAGTTGTAGCATAGAAGAGTCTCGAGAGTACGTGGAGTTCCGAGAACAACTGGGCAGAGTTGGGAGCTGTACTCTGGTGCTTTGCACTGAAGCTGTCTCCACCATTATAGTCCGATAACCTGGAGGCTGTGTTGCTGATTGTATAAGCGTGTTTTTAGTAGTTCTACGACAACTGTAAAAACATGATTTTGGAGCTGTCCTGAGAATACTGGCTAATAAAGTGTGTTTCCATATTCCATCAAGTGCTGTCGTCATTTTTCACTCCAAATCTACGAACCCCGTATGAATGTGAAGGAAAAAAATAACATAACACTATTTTGCTATATCAACTTTTTATAGCATTAAAATGTTACACACCTACAGCTGCCAACAACTTATGAAAATAATGTATTAGCAAAATTTTATGCATGCAAGGCATCTTCTTATACCAATGCTTTAAAACACACATGTACATTTTTAAGTACATTTTTAAGTTTAAATGTACATTTTTAAGTTTAAATATTTTATTTCTAATCAATAAATTCAGTAAAAGAATTTTATAACTGATTCAAATATAAATACAGTATACACATAACTGTATACATGTACACAATATTAATAAAAAAATGTAATCATTCAATACCTTTTGCACTCGCGTATTATGGTGATGCTGAAGATAAATACATATAGGAGACATTTTTTGGCAGTAACTGTTTAAAACCTTTATTTTAAATTAAGGTTTCTTGTAACATCCAGTACAAGTACAAAAGCATCCTCAGATTATATTTTTCTTAAATTTCTAATAAAATTACTAGTGCATTAAATAATGTTCTTAAGACACAGATAAGAAAGTTTACCTAAAATAGCTTTTATTGCATAGAAAAAACAGTTGACAACAAAATGAAAAAACATACATTTGTCTTTCAGAGATTATAATAATACATGTATTAACATTATCAAAATTTTAAAGTAAACATAAAAATTAAAATAATTACATGAGAAATCAAGAAGGAAAATTTAACATAATTGTGCCTTCATTCTAATACTCTTTATGAAAAAAATTAGGGAAAATTTGATATTGAGTGTTCCTGAACATATGTCTCATTTCTACCCAATGATTATAAGACTACAGATTAGAAAAATTTAATATTCACTCTCATTCGTCTTTCAACCTAGGCTAAAATAATAAAAATCTAGGCTATCATGTTTAGTTCCTCCCCTCTTGTTCCAGTAAAATTTTGATTCTGTCACATATGTGCTACTAGAATGAAGATATCAATTATGATGATAATAAGTTTCAGCAGTATGAATAACAAATAAATTAACAAATTCAGTGCTTACTTTTCCGTTTCGCTGGCACAAATCTCGCCAAGCAGACATTATTGGCGACAACATACAGTATACACATAAAAAATGTTAACAAATGTTAGTTCTTAAGAGTTTTTTATTTTAAAGGCATAAATATTTTAATATCGTTTAAAATTTTGTAAAAAGCCAATGAATGCAGACAATAAATTTGTAAAAAGAAATTAATTTAAGAATTTATTATGCTTTTATGGTTCAACATCCTAATTCGCCGGTTCATACTACGTGACCCCAAGTGATCTCATCTCAAGTAAACTATGCTACAATAGTCTAATTCTCTCAGTAATTATCTACATTAATTTCAAGTTAAATCTTAATTTGGAATATTTGAAGTTCAAATGCACGAATTATTTCAATTCGTACGAGTAGCTTACTCAGAAATTATGTAAAACTGCAGTGTTGTACTTCACTAGTGCATTCTCATTAGAATTGATGAATTTAAGCCTTGATTTTGCTTTTTCTACATTTTCGCCTTTGGGTGAGTGGTGTGATTGCCTCCTAATTGACTTAATTACCACGAATGGTTTTTTTTCTCGTTTTCAAGATCTAGAACCATAATACAGATTTCACCATTCATTAACAATTTGATGATTGAGAAGCACTGTCATCACAATGAAAAACCTCTTTTATATCATCTACATTTATTACCGCTGCTCCACATTTCTTTATAATATCCGTTAACTGGAAAATTTCACCTTTGTTTTGCGATATCAGAAAACCTTTAAAATTAGCGGCTATCATCATCAAATTTAGCTATCCTTCACTATATACATATTTGACTATGCATCATGAGCTTGGCGACTAACGAAAAGTTGTTCCATTAAATCTTCTTGCTTCTATTGCACACTGAGACAATTAAGCCTACATTGCATTAGTTTAGGTATACTGTTAAAAATTTAACAAGTATAATAAAGATATTTATTAGACATAAATATAATAAATATATTTATTTTACTTATGTCTATTTCTTGCACATGCTTAAGGCTTATCAGAGTTCTGAATAAATAAATTCCAACATATATACATAGACTTTATTGAGGGCCAGTGCTAGATATCTTACTATGTGATGCAGTCTCTGCGAGTCCTAAATTCTGTGACGTGGTGTGGCCATACAAGCCCTGGCACTGGTTCTGAGTTTATGTGAATAACAAATCAATTATTCTTAATTCAAATAGCCCAAAATGTAATCTTTGGGTCTATGAGTATCATCAACAAAATCTATTTTTAGCATACGGAAAGAAATTTTTGGTAAATTTTTCCTTGTCAACATTTTTTAGCGCATTTAACTTAAATCTGTAATCATCGCCAAGCATAATGTCAACATAAAAGGTTACCATACTGCTTTATTATTCTATTACTAAAGTTAAAAAAAAAAAAATGATTAGGCATCACTACATGAGTCATTACTCAAGTTGTCATGTTTTGATAAACATGGGGTGATGAAAGGAAAGTATAATAAATAATGATTTGCAAGGTTGGCGTCAGATCAATGATGTATCTATGTGGAATGTTTCAGTTTGAGATGTGTGCCAAAGCAGATACGCAGCAATGGATCCCAATTACTGATCGTACAAGTTTTATACTAAAATGATTGTTTCTTCAATAACAAGGTATTTTATTTGGTGTCAAAGTGAAATTAAGAATCGGGCTCTCTGGATGTTTTATTATGCGCTGAGAGGGGGAATCAAATGAGCATGTGTAAAGCCTACGAGAAAACATTGTTGGTGTTTTTGAGGTCTGGATTTTAGATCATTCCGGATAATGGATGTCCGGATTTTGGACTTTGTACTGTATATATGGAAAACTGCATTCGCAGAGAATTTTATACTTGATGACAATTGTGGTAGAAAAACCTTGAGAAACAGCAATATCATTCAGAATATCAAGCCTTCTATTTAAAGATGGCAGAAAAGGAGCATAAATGAATTGTTCTGTGAACAAAGCTATAGAGACAGCAAAACATAAATGGCAGCAATGAATGTTTTCTACAGTTCATCATTTTGCATGTGAAAGTAAATAAATGCTACACAAATGCTTACAGTAATTTAATAGAAATAAACTGTACTGCATATACATTTTCTTCAAGTCACATGAATTATGAATCTAGTTTACAATTAACCACAAATAAAACTCTGAAAAAGATAACTTTCTCAAATAATTAAGAGAATGTATGAGCAGAAACAGTATTTAACATATTTTTAAAGGACTAAAGTTACTTTTCTGTTAAGAGGGTACCAGCTGCAAAATGTGAACTAAAATACGAGTACTAAATGTGGTATTTTGTTTAAAACACATCATAAATAGCTATGCAATGGTTAATGTGTGTAATGCCAAGTGATGCTGATGGTAACTTTTACAGTTCTCCAGTTTTTTGTTTTTAAATGAGAATATATTGTATACATAGTAAAAACAGTTTTCCCTGTACACGTAGTGATCATCATTATATGCATTATATGATACATAATTATTTTTACAAGTTAATTTACTTTTTGATGAAGCTGTATGTTTTGTTAGGGTTGCTGCCATCTAGATAAGATTCCATGCCAGCATTTAAGTCTGTTGCTAAGTGATACCCTATTAACAGAAAAGTACCAGACAAAGTCTTGAAACTTCATTTCTTAATTTACTATTTATATATTGAAATGAACTTTCTTAGTAAATACCTGTTATGTTCATTTAATGCATTTTGCCATTCGAGATCTCCACTTGTAGTGACACTATCATACCAAAGGACAAGAGTGTGTGACCGAAATGAATGCATCATATCTGTCAACAAGTTAATGAATTGCTTTACGAGAGGTATTTGGTTTATCTAAATGAATTAAAAGCAGATTATAATTTTATTCACTAAATATTCTAATTACATACTAAAAATGTTTTTTCATAATATAAATAAATTTGTTATTTGTTGTGCTTATTTTACTATATTGATAAACTATTGCAACAAAAAGTGCTTATTTTGCATTCTTAAAATAACATCATAAGCTATGCAAGTTTCATAAACTTTTCCATACATGTTGTTATTATGACTTATCTTGCTTGTCTGACAGTCATCAGTACAAGCCCATAAAATTCAACATGGCAAGGAGTGCAAGATTGCACCTGTATTGGCCAAATGCCTTGAGTATCATACACGTGACATTATGACTTTGCCCAGTTCTGCTCCCAATTTTGATGAAAAGCACCATGGGGGGGACGCAGATCCAAGGGTCTCCCACCCTTCTTCCCCTATCGCAACCTCTCAAGAGGACTTCTGGATTGTTGCATATTTAGAGTGCCCCAATGCCACACAGCTACTATATATTTACGAACATCTATACCTTTTCTGGGATTCAAACTCGGGCACTTTGGTACAGCATACAGCATTGCTAACTGCTATCCTGGTTGGGCAGCTTTTTCATAGATTATTAACATGTCATTTGATCAGGTTTAATGGGAACAAGCCTTGCTCTAGCAATTTCAGCATCCTAGGTGATCAGTACATTTTACATGCTATGCAAATTAAATACACTAATAATTCAAAGTGAAATATACATTCGCTTAGTTGTTACTTGTGAAAGCAATTCAGTTGCTCTTTGCAATTTGTTGCCCTAGGTTCTTATATGTGGTGTTGGCTCAAGAATCTCTCATATATAATATAACTAAATATATTTAGAGGATCTGCATTTTATCATAAATACACTTCATACACAATTAATATATGAAGAACTTTCATGATTAAAATGATAACCTAAAACAAATCACAAAGTTAATAGTTGTTTTCAAAATTATTATTTATTCCACAGTTTTTAAATTATAAAAAATGAAAACTTTCGGATTTAAATTTCTAAAAGAAACATATTTTGTGTATATTCATATCCCATGTTTAAAAAGAAAATATCAGTTACTTTTTTTCATTCAAAATTATTGCGCTCATCCCCAAAGGGAATATTTAAAGTATTATTTATATATATACTTAAAATTTTTTAGGTATTTTCTGATTATCTGCATCCCCCTAACAAAAAGTTGCCAACTGTTGGAGGGCAATTTTTGAGCAAGCTAAGATGCAAAAGATAACAGCCATTTTCAAAAATGGTATTACACCAACATAAAACAGCAACCAATTAACAAAATTTAAAGTGCAAGAAATATCTATAAAACATTTACTGTTTTTTGTGCTGTTCTCCCTATATACACAATCATGCAGAAACTGGAGCACATTATCACTCTCCCCATGTAAACATCAATCTTTTCAATTAAACAAACTTCAGAGCATTGCACAAATTTGACAACAACAAAAAAATTCTGATCCATAAAATTCAATCATTTACATATGGAATGTAAATTTTTGCATTTCATTCCTGTTGTGCAAAATTTCTTATTTCTGAAGGCATGTGATGCTTTCTTTTTCAGCTGTTGGCAAACTCTATTGTATTATTAGTGTCCCATTACGATTGCTTTCAAGGGGGAAAAAATTATTTGAATATACTTCATACATACATAAAGAAGAACTTTCATGATCAGAATGACAACCTAAAACAAACCTAACCTAAACAAACTTACAAAAAAAAAAAAAAAAAAAAAAAAAAAAAAAAGGATACTTATTGTAAAATGCATTAATATTTAATTAGATAGTCTAAATTTCATGTCCTTTGACTAATTTCATGTAATTTTCTGACACATTTAATACCAAAAAAAGTCTAGAATGGGAGGAGAAAAGCTTTTATTTATCAAAGTACTTTTTAATATGATGAAAATAAATGTAATAATTAATGTGTTTTGGATAAACTTAGTCATATACCCCATATTAAGGTAAAACAAAATAAACTATAAATATATTAATAGATTAAATTTAGCTTGAATCTCCATATAAAGTTTTACAAATGTCAATAGTGGGCTGACACAATTCAGGTCAAAGGAAATTTTAATATGAAAAATTTTAAAAGGAAAAGATCATAAAATGTGATAAAAAAAATAAAACAATTCAGATGAAACAAAATTTAACAGAAAACATTATTCTCAAATTCACTAAATATGGAGGGAATGTAATTTGTGCAATTTAAGTTTCCTTTCCTCAATAAACTTCACTCACAACAAGTAACAAGTCTTAGTAGCAGCTTTCCTTAATAGCTGTCCTTCTTCTTCTTCAATGGCCAGACAGCCCAGGATGGGCCCTTGCCTTCCTCAGAATCGAATTACAAGCTCTTCTATCCCTGGCCATGGACATCCAATTGGTTATTTTTAAAATTATTAAGTCTGTTTCCAAAGAGCCGAGCCACCTAAGTTTAGGTCTCCCTCTTTTTCGGGTGTCAAATGGTCTGGCCAAGAAGATCTTTTTAGTTACTTGATTTTCATCCATTCTGCACAGGTGTCCTGCCCGTTTAATTATCTGAATCCTTATATATTTTACTATATCTATTTCTTTAAAAGATTTATAGAGTTCAGAGTTAGTTCTTCTAATAGCTGTCCTTGGTAAAAGATAAAAAAAAAAAATTAAGATGGGATATTTGATGATCTAACAGGGGATGCTGAAAAATCGCATGAGTTGGCAGCTATGAAACACTAATTTTAAAAAAAAATTACCATTGAAATTTGAAAGTGTAAATAAACTCATGTCTACTGTGTACATTCCTGAATAGAATATTTTGATGACATAGTGCACTGCTTTGTAAAATTTTTTTCAGGAGTTGTCTGTAATCAAAAGGTACTGATTTTGTAATCATAATGGTATATCGTAATTACTCAATTATCCCCTACCAGATTTTTTAGCACATGATTTAGAAATTTCTGATTTATGGTTACAATGTAAAATACAAACATAAATAGGAAAGTAATTTTTGTACATAAAAAGAATATTAATGAAATTGATGAGTCCTTTGAAAAACATTATAATAATATTTGTGTGCCTTTATGTGTATTTTTTAATGCACAATGTTTACCATTTAAGCTGTCATTTCAGAAATATACACAGTATATTTTCCTATTTCTGGTTTTAAAGTGGTATAATTAGCAGATAAAGGGGAGAAAATATGTGAGTAAATATAGTAATTCTATAAGAATATATCAGGTTGTAACAAAAGTTTTCTGTCAAAAAGTGTTCTTATACAGTTAGGTGGTAAATAATACAAAAGCTTTAATACCTTTAGTGTGGGTAGTAATCACCAGCCAAATGTATGACTTTCTGCCAATGTTTTGTTAGTTTTTCAAAGCCTTCAAACCAGAAACTCAGTGGAAGTCCAAAAGCAGATCAACCTCATTTTGGACGTCCTATGCAGAATGGAAGATAGCATCAGCAAGATGTAGCTGTAGGTGTGAAAAAAGGTAAAAGTCTGAAGGAGAGATGTTGGGGCTATATGGTGGGTGAAGAAAAATATTCCATTCAAGTCCATACTGAGTCCAGTCAGTGAATGCAGACACATGTGGTCTTGTATTATCTTGACAAAACTTTACCATTTTGTGCTGGAACTCAGTTTGATGTTTTTCCTTGATAGCAACATCAACATGGATTAGCATCTCGCTGTACCTTACTGTTGAGGATTTTACTTTTTTCCGGATAATCTTTGTGGATAATACCATAGTAATCCCGCCAGATACAAAGCATGATCTTTATGTTAGTGAAATTGTGCTTTGCGACGCTACTGACAGGCTCAACAGGCGCCAACCAACCGCCTTTTTGGCCTGTGTTGTTAAAGAAAACCCAATAATCATAGTGCTGAAAGTGACAAAGAGATTTTTAAGAATGAAAAGATTTTGAATGACAGCTTAGTAGACATGACAATTACAGGATCTGATCAAATAATAAGCTAGATTATAGAAGAAGAAATTATGTCTGTCTATAAATTTAAACAAAAAGTACTACCACAAAAAAATAAAACAGCTTAAAAATTTTACATTGAAAAAAATGTTTAATAAAACAAATAAATACTCGAGCTCTTTTTTATAAATTTTGGTTTCTTTAAAATCATAAATGCTTCATTACTTCACTTTTTTCATTTTATAGTTTTTGCATTGTATCTTTTAAGATTTAAAATGATGATCTAAAATTTGGAAATTTTCAAATTCAGAATCATCAAAGTCCCCCCAAATCAGCATTTTGAGCTTTGTATTAAAATTTTCCAGTATCATGATCAAAACAATATGCTTCAACAAAATGCAATGACAAGGAATATGGATTATGTTCTTAAAATTATTGTTATTCAGCAAAAAAAGTCTGGCTCTATAACTTATACAAAAAAATTCGAATATCCAGTTTATGTTTTCTTTATCAAAGATTAAAATATATTGTCTGATGATGACTAATTTGAAATGACTGATGAGCAATAACTCCACTCCTCATCTATACAATAACAGATTATATGGCTGAAAATAGGAAAGGTTTTATAAAAATTGCTTTTATTCTTTTTAGTACAAAGCTTTGAACCCCCTTACACGAATGAAAAATTTCTTATAATACCACTTTCAGGATTTTTATATGTAGTACACATTTTATTTATTAATAGCTGAAACTTCATAAGCATCATCTTAATAAACAAAACTTAAACTATGTAAAGCAGCTATGTAATGATTTGGAACTTCCTTATTACTATGAACCGGAATTTTCAAACATCAAATTTGTGCCAAGATTATTGTCAAATTTATATTTACTTCTCGCATACACTTTGTGGCTTTCATGTTTCTGTAATTGTTTTTAATATAGCATCAGAAGCATTTTCACTACAATACCTGTGCAAAATAAGACTCATGATGATTTTGAATGATACCTAATTGTATTCCGTCACTTTGTGGAATGTCGCAGTCTTTCAACATTTTGTATACACGCAGTTGTTGTTGAAT